CCTCTCCAATCACTCGGTCAACTCTGGCTGCACGCTTCACCCCTGAGGCGGCCGCAATTGAGCTGTGGGTCAATGGCGAATGGATTGGGCTGGGAACGGATTGTACTGTGACAGGACTTTTGAACTGCAGCTACTGCCGTCACCATCACCATAGTTTGGTGGGAAAGACGCATGCAAACAAATGGGTGATGCCGATGGTAAAGGGACCCCTGACCATTAGGTCCAGCCGCGGACGACTCTGGGGTTGCGGCGCTCATCTCACTTTATTGGCCGAGGGAGCTGGCATACAGCTTCGGGGTTATGTGGCCAGCATGACCAAGCCGCTTCTGGCGAACCAGAGCAGTGCATGGAAACGCTGTTTACCTTCCCGCCAGAGCGGTACCTATTCATCTACTTGCATTTTGACGTGCTTTCGAACTGCTAGGTTGGCAGGAGCAGGGACCAAGCAACGGGAGCTCACCCCGTCGCAGGGATTCGAACCGCCGACCTTCTGATCGGCAAGTCCTAGGCTCTGTGGTTTAACCCACAGTGCCACCCGCGTCCCTGGTGTCGATGGTGCTGTTCCCTAAACATCCCACCTTTCCCCGCAGGAAACATCCGGGTTCTGTGCCGCCTGAAGCCGCTGAGCAAGGATGAACAGCAGGGAGGGGAAGTGGAGACCCCGGTGGCTGCGGACCCAGCAGACGACGGCTGCGTCACGGCCTCCTACAAAGGGAAGGAGCGCACCTTTAAGCTGGACAAGGTCTTCTTGCCGCAGGCCACACAGGAGGAGGTGAGGACCCCCTGCCCTCGGAGCGTGTCTCTGTCTGATGCTCCGTGCGCCTCTCCCTCCTCAAAACGAGGAGGATCTCAGCATCCCACTGGTCCGGAAAGCAGCACGTGGAGACCGGGCGCTTGGCACGGTGGGTGGGTGAGGATTCGGGGCCTTCGCAGTTGAGCATGGTGAGGAGGTGCTGAGTGGCAGCCAGAAGAGGGGGGCTCTGTTGGAATCCCAGAAGTGCCCGGTTGGAAGGGACCTCGGGGGGTCATCTAGTCCAACCCCCTGTGATGCAGGAATCAAAGCTGAAGGATTCCCCGGCAAGTGGCCACTGACCACTGATTCCCCGGCAACTGAGCTCTGACGAAGGGGAGGCCACTGTCTTTTGAGGTCACCTGTCCCACTGCCAAACAGCATTTGGAATACTCTGCCCGGTTCTGGTTGCCTCGCCTCGAAATGGATGTTGAAAAGGTTCAGAAAAGCGCAACCAATACAGTCATACCTCGAGTTGAATGTGCTTCGGGTTGAGCGCATTCGAGTTGCGCTCCGCGGCAACCTGGAAGTAACGGAGCGCGTTACTTCCGGGTTTTGCCACTCCCGCATGCGCAGATGCTCAAAATGACGTTGTGCGCATGCGTGGAAGCGGCAAAATGCGACCCGCGCACGCGCAGGCGCAGGCGCGTCTTGCGTTCCGTTCGGGATGTGAACGGGGCTCTGGAACGGATCCCGTTTGCATCCTGAGGTACCACTGTACTTGCTTGGTTATTTTACTTATTTCTCGTATGGTTAGAAATCACCCCAGAACTGGCCTTACTAAACATCTTCCAAGACAACAATGCCCATTTACACCACAAAGAACTCATAACCCACCTGCTTTCAGCAGCCAGAAACATCATAACCAGACACTGGAGAGACCTGTCAGGAGTAAGCATGGGCCAATGGTACCAAATAATATGGGAAACAGCTTACTAGAAAAATTAACCAATAAACTGAAACTGACATGGGGACAAATAGAAGAAGATGCCTTTACCCCCATATGGCTCCCCTTTATCACATACACAGCCCAACAAGACAATGACAAAAATCCACCAACAGCATACAAATCAAAATGGCTAACCTGATCCAAAACACCCACCCACCCCACTCACACACGAAAACAAAGATCACCACAGCCAACCACAAATGAACAACCACACCCTAGGCCAACCCCAACCTCTCTCACCACCAAAGGAACACAAGTGAACAGCAGAGAACCTGCACAAGCAATGCTGACACCAAACCCCACATATAGTAAGTAAAACAGAAACATCGCCACCCGACCCCACACCTACTCATCTCCCCCCTCCACCTCTTTCCCCCTATTCTTCCTAATGTCTCAACAAATGAAACTGATGTGTAAAAATGTTACATGGAAAAAAAATACGAGAGAGAGACATTGCAAAAACTTTTGTAAATCAAGAAAATCTTTAATAAAATAAAGAAAGAAAGAAAAAGAAAAGGGCAACCAAACTGATGAGGTGGGTGGTGGGTGGGAACGACTCCCCTGTGCAGCGTGTGGGATTTTTCAGCTTGAATTTTATAAAATTCTGTGTGGCATGGGGAATGTAGACAGAGGGCGGTTTCCATCCCATCCTCTCTCATTACACACCAGAACGCGAGGAGAACCAGGGGAAGGCGCCTGCCTGCTGTCAATAGGCAGGGAGTTCCGAAGGTTGGATGGACTGATTCCTTATAAAGGAGGAATGGGAATTACAGTATTTTTCGCTCTATAAGACCACAAGACGCACCTAGTTTTTGGAGGAGGAAAACAAGAAAAAAAATATTCTGAATCCCAGAAGCCAGAACAGCAAGAGGGATCGCTGCGCAGTTCCTCTTGCTGTTCTGGGCTTCTGGAATTGCTGCGCAGCCTGCATTCGCTCCATAAGACGCACACACATTTCCCCTTACTTTTTAGGAGGGAAAAAGTGAGTGTTATAGAGCAAAAAATACAGTAAGTGGTACGGCAGCAGGTTGAGCTAGGAGCACCTTTGCATCACCCGGATGCCGCTTCTGGGAATCGTCGTCAGGGTCAGAGGGGATGCTTTTTCTCCTGGGCTCCAGGTGCCCTGTTGGCTTGGCGCACAGCTTGACCCTCCCTCGCTGCTTTGTGACCCCTCAACGTCTAGGTACCACCCAGGGAGCCGCTGGCCAGCCTGAGTTCCTGGTTGCCACAGCAGCAGGTAAAACCCCCGGCACAGACGGACCCGCTGCTCACGTCCTCACCGGCCCTCACTGCACCTCCTGACCTCTGCCTCACAGCCTCGGTGCGCCTGTGCCCGTGCGCATGGGTGCCCCTCGCTCAGCTCTGCCTTCTCTACCCCCTCTGCAGGTCTTCCTGGAGATTGAGCCGCTGGTCATGTCCTGCCTGAATGGGTACAACGTTTGCATCTTTGCCTACGGGCAGACAGGGTCCGGAAAGACTTACACCATGGAGGTAGGAGCTTGCTCACCCCCCAGCCCGTAGGATGAGCCTAGGGGGAATTGGGGCACATGCAACCGACGCGCATGGCACACCCGAGCGAGGGGGTTTCGTGCACCGAATGCGCCTGAATTAATTCGCTTGGCGGGCTTGCTGGGCACTTTTGCACATTCCTGGAATCACAGAACTGTAGAGTTTGGCTGCGCGTCTCTTTCTTAAGCTGCCGTCCAGATATAGTGGTACCTCGGGTTAAGAACTTAATTCGTTCTGGAGGTCCGTTCTTAACCTGAAACTGTTCTTAACCTGAGGTACCACTTTAGCTAATGGGGCCTCTGGCTGCCGCCGCACATCCTGAGCACGATTTCTGTTCTCATCCTGAAGCAAAGTTATTAATCCGAGGTACTATTTCTGGGTTAGCGGAGTCTGTAACCTGAAGCGTATGTAACCCGAGGTACCACTGTATAGACACACACACAAGTTCTGTTTCTGTGGTCTCTTCGGAAAGAGATGGTTTGCTGGGGGCAAAGCTGCTCCTGTATCGCGATATTATAGGTAAAGGACCCCTGACCGTTAGGTCCAGTCACGGACGACTCTGGGGTTGCGGCGCTCATCTTGCTTTATTGGCCGAGGGAGCCGGCGTACAGCTTCCGGGTCATGTGGCCAGCATGACTTAGCCTCTTCTGGCGAACCAGAGCAGCGCACGGAAACGCCGTTTACCTTCCCGCCGGAGTGGTACCTATTTATCTCCTTGTACTTTGACGTGCTTTTGAACTGCTAGGTGGGCAGGAGCAGGGACCGAGCAATGGGAGCTCACCCTGTCATGGGGATTCGAACCACCGACCTTCTGATCGGCAAGCCCTAGGCTCTGTGGTTTAGACCACAGCGCCACCCGTGTCCCTCTATTGCGATATTACATTTTCTTAAATCGCAGAAATAGCAGTGCTGAAACCAAATTTCCCCGGATAGGAATTCCCCAAAGGTGAGGGGCTCCTTCAGCAGAATCAAGTATCAAGGCTTCTTTTGGACATGACCACTTCAGACTGTAGCTATAGGCTTGCTTGCTCAAAGGCTTCCAGCGTGGAAGAAGAACAAATTGCATCCATGCGTATGGGGGAGGTTTGGGCTCAATTTTTCTCATCGAAATGCAAGTTTTCAGTGTGCAAGGGAGCTTCTCCCGACTCAGTGAGGAAGGAGGCATTCATGACACCTCCCCGCCATGCAAAATGCAGCCTAGAAAGCAAACCACTTGGGTTTTGCTGATTAAATCAGAAATGTGGCTTTCAGTAGATTTTGTTTTTGTTTTTCTAGATGATAAAAGTTAAAATTAATTATTTTTCCTTACCCGTTCTGATGACAGTCATTGTTTGGATGGGGGCCTTTTATCAATTTCTGCAGTCACACAACCGATCAATCAGTAGCTGAACTGGGTTCCACACAGTCACAAAAACAAATTAACCGAAAAAGCCTCAAAAACAAAAACCCAAAATAAATAGCAAAAACAAAAGCGCCAAACTTAATCCGTTCCGGAGGTCCGTTTGACTTCCGAAATGTTCGAAAACCAAGGCGCAGCTTCTGATTGGTGCAGGCGCCCCAGGAACAATAGCCGACAGTCGCATCGGACATCCAGCTTCCGAAAAACGTTCGAAAACTGGAAAACACTCACTTCTGGGTTTTCGGCATTTGGGAATCAAGGTACCACTGTACTGACTAGCACCATTGATCAATCTAGTCCAGTATCTCCCACACTGGCTGGCAGCTGTGGAGTTTCAGGCTGGAGAGATTCCAAGCCCCTCTAAAGACGGCAGGACTTGAACCCAGGGCCTTCTGCATGCAAGGCAGACGCTCCCTCCCGCTGAGCTTCGGGCGGGACCCTCAGGGTCTTTCTGTTTCCAGGGCGTCTCCGACAACCCCGGGATCAACCAGCGGGCGCTGCAAGCCCTCTATCAGGAAATGGAGGCCAAGCGTGACGTCTGGAAGTATTCGGTCAGCCTCAGCATGGTGGAGATCTACAATGAGGTGATCAGGTGAGAGGCACCCCCGAATGCGAATCCTGCCCTTGAGAGAGAAGCAGTGCGGTGTAGTGGTTAGAGCATTGGACTAGGATCTGGGAGAGACGCAGGTTCAAATCTCCATTTGGCCATGTACCTCTCACTGGTTAGACTTGGGGGCAGGGCCAGTCCCTGTCTTCTCTCAGCCTCGCCTACCTCTCAGGGTTGTTGTGGGGATTAAACAAAAAGGAGAATCATATAATGTAGACTTGGAAGGGACACCAAGGGGCTTCTAGTCTGACCCCGTGCAATGCAGGAATTCTGCCCACAGCCACCCGTGGGTGGGCTCGAACCACCAACCTTCTGGTTAACAGCCAGACTCACGGACCCTTTGCGTCACAGGAGGACCACTCTGCTATGCCAACGATCCAGCTTGTCAACATCCTTCTTTAACTGTGGTGCCCAGAACTGGACACAATATTCTAGGTGTGGTCGGACCAAGGTGGAAGAGAGTGGGACTATTATTTCCCTTGATAAGCAGTTGGCTCCTTACCTCTCTTGCGCTGACCTAGCCACTGTGATCCACACGATGGTCACCTCCAGACTGGATTGGGGCTGCCCTTGAGACTGACCCAGAAACTCCAGTGGGTGCAGAATGCCATGGCGAGACTCCTTACGGGGTCCTCACTGCGGGATCACATTCACCCAGTGCTATGCCAACTGCACTGGCTCCCAGTGGAGTACAGGATCAGGTTTAAGGTGCTGGTTTTAACCTTTAAAGTCCTATACGGCCTAGGACCCTCGTACCTACGGGACCGCCTCTCCTGGTATGTCCCACGGAGGACCTTACGGTCTTCAAACAAAAACATCTTGGAGGTCCCGGGCCACAGGGAGGTTAGGCTGGCCTCAACCAGAGGCAGGGCTTTTTCGGCTGTGGCCCCGATCTGGTGGAACGCTCTGTCCCAAGAGACCAGGGCCCTGCGGGACTTGACATCTTTCCAGGCCTTTGGCCAAGGCACAGTCTGACCCCCTCCTTTGGTAATCCGCACTGAACTCTAGCCCAATGGCTGCCATGAATTAGATTTTGAATTGATTTTAGAATGCTGTGTTACTTTTATTGTTGTTAGCCGCTCTGAGCCCGGCTTCAGCTTGGGAGGGCGAGATATAAATAAAATGTTGTTGTTGTTGTTGTTGTTATCTGGACACTCAACCTCTGTTGAGGCAGCCAAGAATAGCATTAGCTGGTAAAATTAATGAATGTTAGAATGATGTTGGATAGTAATTAAGTGGTTTCCAGCTGTAAAGCTTTAAGGGAATATGAAAAAAGGGTTACAAATAGGTAAAAATTTAATATTATTACTTTTAAAGGATTTGCTGAACCAGCAGATTGAAGTGGAATACAAAAAAGGGAGGTATGAGGAGGTCCGGGAAATAAGTCAAAGGAAAATAAGTAATGGAAAATCTGTGTGTTTTTAACGATTTTTATTTTGTATTTTTGTCATTTTTTTTTCATTTTTTCATTTTTATTGTAATATTTTTAAAAATCTTAATAAATATCTTATAAAAAGAAAAAGAATAGCATTAGCTGTTTTTGCTGCAGCATCACGCTATTGGCTGACGTGACACTTGTGATCCTCTTCTCCCAAGCGCTGCTGCCAAGCCAGGTAGCCCCCATCCTCTATTCCTGCACCTGGTTCTTCCTACCTGAGTGTAGGACCTTGCATTTGTCCCTGTAAGAAATGAAGAAATGCATTCCGCTCTGTCTTCACCAGACAGCGACACCCCTGGCCTGTCAGTACCTAGTGAGAGGATTGCTAGCGCATCTTCTTCTTCCTCCCTCCTTCTAGGGACCTCCTTGCCAGGGACCCCCATGAGAAACTCGATGTCAAGCTGAATCCGGACGGGAGTGGCCAGTTGCACGTCCCAGGACTGACCAGCGTGGAGGTGGACAGCCTTCGCCAGATCAAAAAGGTGGCCGGACTGGACATCAGTGTTTGGGGGCTTGGGAGCCTTCTGTGTCCCAGGGGGCAGCCTTATTTTTCCACTGGGTTTTGCCCCAGTGAATTAATTGTGGGGTGTGATCCATGAGAGGCAGTCAAGTACAACATTCCTTGAAATGCTAGAGAGGACATGCGAGGGAATGTTTGGTCCAGCCAGTCGAAACTTCCTGTTCCTCCTGGCTGGAGCATCCTTCCTTTTGCATGTGACTAGAGGTGGGCGTGACCTTACCTGTCCAGGTAACGAAAGGACGAGTCACGCAGCACACCTCTCTCTTTTTGACTTCCTTCTTCGTTTGACCAGCTAGGACTGCTCTGCTAGCTCTCAGCTAGCAGAAGCACTGGGATTATTCCCCCATATGGGGTAGATTCACATGTACATATTTGTAACTAAGTCTGCCTTCAGGGATCCAACTGTGAACTGATGTGAGTAAACTTATTTTATTGAATAATTTGAATAAGATTGTGGCGTCTTTTAAGAGAGATTCAAAGGGAACTTACCAGGAACGTACAATTCAGTCTGAGGCAGACGGAATTGTATAATAGTGATAGGCTCACACGAGCCTGCAACCAGCTATCCGCTGTACAGTGGTACCTTGGGTTAAGAACTTGATTTGTTCCGGAGGTCCGTTCTTAACCTGAAACTGTTCTTAACCTGAGACACCTCTTTAGCTAATGGGGCCTCCCGCTGCCACCGCGCCACTGGAGCACGATTTCTGTTCTCATCCTGAAGCAAAGTTCTTAACCCAAGGTACAGTCATAAAGGTAAAGGTAAAGGGATCCCTGACCATTAGGTCCAGTCGTGACCGACTCTGGGGTTGCGGCGCTCATCTCGCTTTATTGGCCAAGGGAGCCGGTGTACAGCTTCCGGGTCATGTGGCCATACCTCGGGTTAAATGTGCTTCAGGTTGAGCGCTTTCGGGTTGTGCTCCGCGGCACCCCGGAAGTAAGGGAACACGTTACTTCTGGGTTTCGCCGCTCGTGCATGCTCAGACGGCAAATTGCGACCCGCACACGTGCAGACGCTGGTTGCATTTGCTTCTGGATGCAAACGGGGCTCCGGAACGGATCCTGTTCGTATCCAGAGGTACCAGTGTACTATTTCTGGGCTAGAGGAGTCTGCAACCTGAAGCGTCTGTAACCCGAGGTACCACTGTACATGTAAAAAGGAGAATGTAACTCTGCCAAGCAAAGGAGCTTGCTAGCACAAGTTAGGAAGGATATTAATAAACAATATATCCTTTCCTGCCTCCCTGAACATTCCCACATTAATTCCCCGCTTGAAGTGACCCTCCATCCTTTTGCCTTCTCTTCAGATGCTCTCGCTGGGCAAGCGGAATCGGGCCACGTACGCCACCAACATGAACGAGCGCAGCTCCCGCTCTCACGCCCTCCTCACCATCAACATCACTGGCACTGACCTGGCCAGCGGCATCCAAGTCACAGGTATCTTTCTTTTTTTTTTGGAAATAATTTTTATTGGTTTTCCAAAATAAATCACATGCTTGACACAAATTTTTAAAATAAAACAAGATTCCTCCGAATCTTAGGACTTCACTCCTCCCCTCCGTGGGTCCTTTAAATATTTTAATCAACTGCATATTATAGTTCATCTGAATTATGGTCCTCCAAAGTATCCAAAGTCTTTATAACGCTGCTGCAAGAGTTATTCAAGGCCTGCCAAAGATCTCAAGCATTTGGACTGTTCTTTCAAATACACTCTGCATTCGTCCCATTCTCTGCTGAAGTTTTGGTCCTCCTGATTTCTGATTTTCCCAGTCATTCTAGCCATTTCTGCATAGCCTTGTAGTTCCATCTGCCAGTCCGCCTTTGTCGGCATCTTGCCCTCTTTCCATCGCTGGGCAAGACAAGTCACAGGTATCTATCCACCTGCCCTGTCGGCGGCTGCTGAGCAAATTGGGATGCGGCGGGGCGCCTGTCCAAGGCATAGCTGTCAACTGTCCCTTATTTGGCGGGAAACTCCCTTATTCCAGCGCTGTTTCCCGCTGCTGTCGCCAGTATTGGTGTTGACCTTTAAAGCCCTAAACGGCCTTGGTCCAGTAGACCTGAAGCAGCTCCTCTCCATCCCTCATCGCTCGGCCAGGAGGACGGAGGCTCCAACGCTGTGTTGCCTTCTGGCTGCGTTCGCTCACCCAAGAAGTGAGTCTAAGGAACGACTGGCGAGGGCCTCTGGAGCTTGGACCTGCCTTGTGGCTGCACTCCCATCGGCTGTCGATGCCTGAGAAGAAGAGCTTGGCTTTGATCTCAGCGCTTTCCTACCTTTAAGGAGGTTCGAGCAGCTGGCATTCTCCTTGCCTGCATCCCCTATGCCAGACGCTGCTGCGAGGTGGTGGAACTGACCGCTTCAGAGCTGTGTCTGGCTGCTAGGCACCTGGGCTTTCTGCCTGTGGCTCAGAGGAGCTCAGAAGTCTAACTACATACACTGGCTGCCTGAGAACAGCTCCCATATTTTAGAGCATGCTGATGCCCCTATTTTCGAGGCTTTAATGCTTGATGCCTGACTGTATTTCAAATCTGTAGTTGACAGCCATGGTCCAGAGTGGCTAGGAAGCTCAGCAAGGATGTGGGGAAAGACAGAGACCGTTATTTCCTTCTTTCCCCTTTTTCTATTTGTCCCTCTTTTCACGTCTTATTTCACCCTGTGAACTTATAAGAATGTGTTTAAGAGGAAACGCATTCTCCTCTGCCGCAGGGAAACTGAATCTGGTGGACTTGGCCGGCTCGGAGCGGGTGTGGAAGTCTGGTGCGCAAGGAGAGCGTCTGAAGGAGGCTCAGAGCATCAACAAGTCCCTGCTGGCTTTGGGGGAGGTGATCCAGGCACTGCGCACCAAGCAGGCGCATGTCCCCTTCCGCAACTCCAAGCTCACCTACCTGCTGCAGGACTCTCTGGGCAAAGGGAGCAAGACCATCATGATGGTGCAGGTGAGAGAGGAGGGCAGGGCAGGGCAGGGCAGGGGTGGGGGGTCCAGGCAAAGATCCAAGCCAGGCATGTGGGATGTGGAACACAAGAGCAGTCAAGTACAACATTCCTAGAATGAACATGTTTACACATGGGGAGGAATGTTTGTCCAGCCAGCAGGTGAACCTCCTGTTTCCTTCTGGGCTGGGACAGACTTCCTCTGCATGTGACTAGAGGTGGGTGTGGCCTCACCTGTGCAGGTAACAAAAGCATAGGACTGGCAGCCATGAGAGATCTCTCTCTCTTTGACTACATGCATCGAAGAAGCAACATCTGCTTAGCCAAAGATGCTCTTTTGGCCAAGAGAGGACAAAGGGACTGTCTCCTTATGAGATAGTTTCCAGGTATATGTTACTTTTCTAAGCTAAGTCTGCCTTCGGGGATCCAATTGTGAACGGAATGATGTGTGAGTAAACCTTTTTTTAATACTTTTATAGAAGGATCTAGGCCAGCACCCTGCTCTCATAGTGGTCAAGAGGGAGTGCCGGGCTTTGGCGACTCGCCTTTGTGGGAATGTTCAGGGAGGCAGGACAGGATACGATGCGATGCGATGCGATACGATACGATACAATATGATACTCTTTATTGTCATTGTCCCATAGAGAACAACAAAATTGAAAAAAATCTACATCAGACATTCAAAAACCCACAAGCCTGCTATCCCTGCTATCCCAACCTGGCTAGCCCCCTAAAAACTCTGATACCCCATAATTGAATACAATATACTCCCATAGAGACTACTCAATTATTCTCTCTGCAGTCTTTACAACCCTGGACAGCATTGTTTTTTCCCTGGCCGTGCAGCTCCCAAACCACACGCACAGACCATAAGTTAATACACTCTCAACAGTACAATGGTAAAATGCCATCAACAGGTCCTTTGAGAGATTGTTTTTCCAGAGGATTCTCAGATATATTGTTTATTAACATCCTTCCTAGCTTGCTGTAGCAAGATCTATAACTTAGCAGAGTTTTACATTCCCTTTTTTGCAGAGAGAATAATTGGGTGCACTCTTCCCACCTTGGATCAAATCTACACTTCCAGGTGCCATAAGAAAGCTGCAGAGATAGCGCAGGATAGTGCGCACTCCGGAAATGATCTCTTTCAGCTTCTGCATCTGGAAGAAGGTCCAGGGTTATAAAGACCAGGACTAGCCGCCTGAGAAACAGTTTCTACCCAGATGCAATTTTGGGTTTAAATGCAGTATAAGGAGTCTCTATGGGAATATATTGTATTTAAAAATGGGGTCTCAGAGTTTTTAGGGGGCTAACCAGGTTGGGATAGCAGGCTTGTGGGTTTTTGAACGTCTGATGTAGATTTTCAATTTCGTTGTTGTGTATGGGACAATGACAATAAAGATATCGTATCGTAACACAGGAACCTGGACCGGAGGCTCTTCCTATGTTCTCATGTTCCCCCTTCCTCTCTCTGCCCCGCAGATTTCCCCGCTGGAGAAGAACGTGGGCGAGTCCATCTGCTCCCTCAAGTTTGCCCAGCGCGTCTGCAAAGTGGAGCTGGGCCCAGCCTCCCGGCGCATCGACTCCTCTGCCCAGCGAGAGGTTTGAGCTGCCCTCGACCCTGTCAGGAAGAAGAGGACTCGGAGCCAGCGCAATGACGGGGGGCGCAGGCCCCCTCTTCAGCAGAGGAGACTTCTCCCAAGCAGGCTGGGCCGGAGAGCCAAAAAGCGTCCCTCTGCCCCCCCTTATCTGAGCACCAGTTTCTACAAAGCTTAGAAGGGGTTGCGATGACATAGACAAGCCCTGCATTGACTTTGGGACAGACTTCCTCCACCTGGCGCCCTCCAGCTCTTTTTGGGATGTGGCCCTTTGGGGCTGATGGGGGTCACATCCCAAAAAGAGCTGGCGGGCGCCAGGCAGAGCAAGGCTGCTTTAGGATTGTCGTTCAGCCAGCCAGCCCTGCTTTGCAATGCCATTGTCCTTTGAGCTCTTCCCTGCTTTGGATGCTTGTCATATCCACAACGACCCTGCGGTGTAGCCCTCCCTGCTCCTCATCCCTTGATGGTCCCGCTCCGGAGGTTCTGTGCTGCGTGGATGCTCTGTTGCAACCCGGAGGAGGTGTCCAGTCTCCCCCTCTTTCTCTCCAACAGTTTTGGGGAGCAGCCATGGTGAAATGAGGTGGGCGGCCCTCTCTGACCATCTCTTAGTAGAGCGAGGTGGACCTGGCTCTCGGCTGGGCCGCTTACTCAGCCCACCACTCCCTGACCCAGCAAGCATGGATCTCGACGTGCGTGTCTGAATGCATACATCCCCCCATCTTGTCACCCCCCCAAAACCCCAACCCCTGTTTGCAGACCTTCAGAATGACTTAGTTCAGTCCAGTCTCCATTTAATCGCTCTTGCTGATGGCGACCTGAAAGGGAGATTTCACTGCATGCTTTGGGCAGGGAGCAAGGGTCCCGATCCATCGCAGTGGGAACCAACTCTTGGGGTCACCTGACGAGGACTTCTTCCTGTTTTCACGAGCTGTTGTTGGCATCCGTCTGTCTCAAGCTACTTATGAGCTAACTTTGCGCAGCACATCATTAAACTGTGGAACTCCCTGCCCCAGTGATGGTGTCAAAAGAGGATTGGACAAATTCGTGGAGGAGGAAAAGGCTATTGATGGCTACTAGCCGTTGGTTCTGTGTTCAAATCCTGTTTGCAGGTTTCCCGCGGGCATTTTTCCAGCTGCTGCGAGAACAGGATGCTGGACCAGACGGGCCGTTGGCCTGATCCGGTGGGCTCCCCTTATGTCCTCCCGCTGCTGCTGCTGCACAACTCTGGGCGTGCCACCCCCCTGATTTCTATTTATTCGAGCTTGGAAGGAGCTGCAGCGAAGGGACAGGACACAGGGTTCCCTGCAGGTGCAGTTGGCTTACGGCTCTGACCGCTAGGAACACTGTCTTCTTGTGAGTCAGGGGAGCCTCGATCTGCATAGCTCAGTATTGCTTGCACTGAGGTTTCAGGCACGACTCTCTTCCAGGTCTACCCGGAGGTGGCTTTCGGGTTTGGACCTGGGGCGTTCTGCATGAAAAGCAGGTGCTTCAGATTCCTGCCTTGCTGCGGGTTGGACTAAATGACCTCTGAGGTCCCTTCCGGCTCTGCAGTTCTTTGATTCTGTGACCACTAGGGCCTTTTGGTCTGGGACGGTGGGGATCCAACAATGTCCGAACAACAGCACCACATCGGTGGCCCCCGTGCAAACCGTCAGCTAGCCAGGAAGAGGCGTGTTGCCTCACTTTCTCCTTTGGGTTCAGGAACTTGGACCAAAGGGGAGCTGCTGGACTTTCTTCCTGCCTCCCCCCCCCCCAGGGACCCCTCTCCCTCCTGCTTCTCCTGAACGCTGGCCAGGACAATAAAGTGAACATGCCCCCCTGCTTCCGTCCTCTGCCTCGATTTTGTGGGTGTCGGCCCCAAAACCTGTGGGGCTGCATTAACCCCTCGGTGACGCTGGAGGTTTCAAGTCCAGCTCAATGCCTCCTGACCCGAGACAGACAAGAGCTCCTGATGTCCAGAGCTGGTTTGGGGGCAGGAGGCTTAGAAAAACCTTTTCAATCGTATATAGATCTTGTGAACCCCATATATGTATGGGGGTTGGACTAGATGACCCGGGATTCCTGCCAACTCTACAATTCTGATTCTATGATGAGGATTGGGGGGGGGAGCTGCCATTTGAAGCAGATGAAATAGCAGGCAAGTTGAGTGTTACAAAATTGTAATAATAATAATAATAATAATAATAATAATAATTTTTTATTTATATCCCACCCAGCCGAAGCCGGGCTCAGAGCAGCTAACAACAGTAAAAGTAACACAGTTTACATAAAATCACAATCAATTAATTGAAATACATTCTAAAATCAATTCATTGGCTAAGAAACATTGGCACAGGGGATCCCAATTTCTGGGGTTTGTTAATGAGAATACCCCTGGTTTGAGTATCCGTTGGTTTGGGGGTAGGAACCTACAAAACATGGTGTTCACACCACAAAACTACTAGAAGACTTTGGCACAGGTTTGGAGTGAATTGGGTTGTGTTAAGTTGTGGGCGAACATATCAGACGACACAGCGATTCTTCAAACAGCTCTTGTTTATTCACAGGCCAGAACAGAACTGGGCTGAAGGGTTCAGCCAGCCTGCTTATATAGAGCTCCACTACAACGCAACTGTAACCATTTTCTGTAACTATCCAATCACTGAACGTCACTTTCGATCCCTTATTTGCATAACTATCTACAGTATCCCCCTGCTGGCCCAGGGTGAGAACTTCAGTACATAACAGGTTGGGTTTGGGGGACCCCTAGGACTTCAGTCCGAGTACCAGGAGGCCCTACAAAATGCTGCGCTCATGCTATCAGACCCTACAAAACAGCTGCAGATATTGGCACAGGTTCGGAGGGGACCCCAAATTCCAGGGTTTGTGGTTAATGAGAAATGGGAGAAGTGGTTTCAGGGAACCAGTTTTTAAAATGCTTTGTGAGGCATGTGGGGTGGGAAGGGGAGACGTCCAATGTGATTAACTAAGACACAGGTGGATTAGATAGCAGACCAAAGTACAATCCATACTAATTGCCAGGTGATTTTCTCTCTCTTCTGTGGCTGGCTCTGCCTTCCCTTCCCTCGCCAGCTGTCTCAAAGTAGGCCTTGCATGTGCAGTTTGACAAACCCTGCGTTGGAGCAAAGAAGCAAGCAGCCCCTCAATATTCCCCATAAAAGAAAATCAGAAGAAATACTCCAGAGCGGCTGCAGTTTGAACACCACAATTTCTTTTAACGCTAGAACCTGAGGACGTCCCATGATGCTGAATGTTGGAATAATAATAATAATAATAATAATAATAATAATAATAATTTATTATTTATACCCCGCCCATCTGGCTGGGTTTCCCCAGCCACTCTGGGTGGCTTTCAACAAAATATTAAAATACAGTAATGCATCAAACATTAAAAGCTTCCCTGAACAGGGCTGCCTTCAGGTGTCTTCTAAAAGTCTGGTAGTTGTTTATTTCCTTGTCATCTGATGGGAGGGCGTTCCACAGGGCGGGTGCCACCACCGAGAAGGCCCTCTGCCTGGTTCCCTGTAACCTCGCTTCTCACAGTGAGGGAACTGCCAGAAGGTCCTCGGAGCTGAACCTCAGTGTCCGGGAAGAACGATGGGGGTGGAGACGCTCCTTCAGGTTTACTGGACCGAGGCCGTTTAGGGCTTTCAAGGTCAGCACCAACACTTTGAATTGTGCTTGGAAACGTACTGGGAGCCAGTTTAGGTCTTTCAAGACCGGTGTTATGTGGTCTCGGCGGCCGCCCCCAGTCACCAGTCTAGCTGCCGCATTCTGGATTAGTTGTAGTTTCTGAGTCACCTTCAAAGGTAGCCCCACACAGAGTGCACTGCAGTAGTCCAAGCGGGAAATTTGGGACACACACAAAGAAAGCCCTTCTTTACATGGAGCAGAGTTAAACTGTGGAACTGCCTGCCACAGGATGCAGTGATGCCCACCAACTTGGATGGCTTTAACCAGGCATCCCCAAACTGGGTGCTCCAGCTGTTTTGGGACTATAACTCCCATCATCCCTAGCTAACAGGACCAGTGGTCAGGGATGATGGGAACTGTAGTCCCAAAACATCTGGAGGGCCGAGTTTGGGGATGACTGGCTTTAATGGAGGACTGGAGAAATTCACGAAGGAGAGGGCTATCGTGGATCTGCTTGGCCTGCACCCCTGGAGGCAGCCATGCTTCTGAATTCCAGTTGATAGAAACCACAGGAAGGGTCCTGTGTTTGAATCCTGCTGGCTGGCATCCCATAATGGGTACCTGATTAGCCACTGTGAGAACAGGACGCAGGACTAGATGGGCCATGGGTCTGCTCCAGCAGGGCTCTTATAGTCTTATTTAGGAATAAGATGGGGGTTGCTTCTGCGACCCTGATGCTAATCACATTTATACGGGAATAAGCAACTGCTTTGTTGTAGTAAAATACATTTTCAACTCCCACCAGTCCCAGCCAACATAGGCAAGGACTAGGGTAGGGGATGATATTTATGGTTATCCATCAAGAGGGCCACAGGTTGGCCACCCCTGGAGCCTAGGCAGGTCCACTTTAAAATCCTACCACCTGCTCAAGGGAAAAAAAAGAACCACCATGCAAAAATATCTTATGAAGTTCTGTATGTGAAGGAGCACAGCAGATATGAACCTGGGTCTCCTTTAGAGCAGGGACACGGGTGGCGCTGTAGGTTAAACCACAGAGCCTAGGACTTGCCAATCAGAAGGTGAGCGGTTCGAATCCCTGCGACGGGGTGAGCTCCCATTGCTCGGTCCCAGCTCCTGCCAACCTAGCAGTTCGAAAGCGCATGCAAGTAAATAAATAGGTACTGCTCCGGCGGGAAGGTAAATGGCGTTTCCGTGCGCTGCTCTGGTTTCGTCAGAAGCGGCTTAGTCATGCTGGCCACATGACCCGGAAGCTGTACGCTGGTTCCCTCGGCCAGCAAAGCAAGATGAGCGCCGCAACCCCAGAGTCGGCCACGACTGGACCTAATGCTCAGGGGTCCCTTTACCTTTACCTCCTTTAGAGCTTTGGGCTCGCAGCCCTGATCTCTCACTGCATCCTTTAATTGGCCTCACCTGCTCAGTTGCCACACCCGACTGAGTCAATTTTCTTGTGCCGGCTACTGATTTGATCACCTTGCAAAGCATCTACTTACAACTGGTGGCCCATTCTGAGGGGAGGGGGCTTCCCCCTCCGCCTGCCTCTGTGGGTCATTCAAGGAGAGCTGAGGGTTTTTTGGGGGGCAGCCAAAATACAGTTTTGTTGTTGTTGTTAAGTCGTTTAGTCATGTCCGCCTCTTCGTGACCCCCTGGACCAGAGCACGCCAGGCACTCCTGTCTTCCACTGCCTCCCGCAGTTTGGTCAAACTCATGCTGGTCGCTTCCAGAACACCGTCCCACCATCTCGTCCTCCGTCGTCCCCTTCTCCTTGTGCCCTCCATCTTTCCCAACATCAGGGTCTTTTCCAGGGAGTCTTCTCTTCTCATGAGGTGGCCAAAGTCTTGGAGCCTCAGCTTCAGGATCTGTCCTTCCAGTGAGCACTCAGGGCTGATTTCCTTCAGAATGGAGAGGTTTGATCTTCTTGCAGTCCATGGGACTCTCAAGAGTCTCCTCCAGCACCAGAATTCAAAAGTTCTTCGGTGATCAGCCTTCTTTATGGTCCAGCTCTCACTTCCATACATCACTACTGGGAAAACCAGAGCTTGAACTATACGGACCTTTGTTGGCAAGGTGATGTCTCTGCTTTTGAAGATGCTGTCTAGGTTTGTCATTGCTTTTCTCCCAAGAAGCAGGTGTCTTTTAATTTCGGGACTGCTGTCACCATCTGCAGTGATCATGGAGCCCAAGAAAATAAAATCTCTTACTGCCTCCAGGGATGTTCAAAAAGGTTAACCAGTCCATGCACAAAGCAAAACAAAGGCCAGCTTTCCCATCTCAAGGCCACCAGCGTGAGGGACAAGCGCCAAAGCAGTATTGTGGTCAGTGTTGGACTTGGATTTGGGAGATCTGAGTTCAAATCCCCACTCAGCCATGAAGCTTACTGGGTTTGGCCTTGGGCCAGTCTCTGCCTCTCAACCTCGCAGGGTTGTTGTGAGGATGGAGAAGTCTGCATCATGCCCCCTTGAGCTCCAAATAAATGTTAGGACCCCAAACAGCCCCCTTCCTTTGCAATTAACCACAAACAAAATACTGTATTTTTCGCTCCATAAGGCGAACTTGACCATAAGATACACCCGGTTTTTAGAGGAGGAAAGCAAGAAAAAAAAAATTCTGAATGAAAGAGTGGATGGATGACTTTTGTGGTTCATGCTGTGGCTACAGACATGTGATTTGACAGTGAGTTTGGGGTAGCCCAATGCAAAAATCCTGAGAATCCATGTGGATCCATGCTTTGTAACCACGTTTTCCCGCCATTGCGGCCCCATGAAACAGTGGATGCATGATTTTTTGGGTGCAGGCAGTAGCCATGGATGTGCTATGTGATCTGATGGTGAATTTGGGGTGACCCAATGTAAAAATCCTGAGGATCCAGGGGCTTTTACCTCCGCCCTCCCAGGCAGCCTCCTTTATTGCTAGCGCCCCTTATCTCTCTCCCGATCCCACTGATCAGCTGCTTCCTTTCAACACTCCCTTCCCTCTTGTTTGCCTTAGTGACTTTTCCTTAGCTGGAGCAGTTTTTTGCTCCTTTTCTTCTAATTTCTCTCCTCATTGCTTTAGTCTTCCTGTCTCCTCTCCTTGCAAGTTCGCCGTCTTTTCCTCCCCCCTCCCAGGCAGCCTCCTTTATCGCTAGCGTCCCTTATCTCCCTCCCGATCGCTTGCAATCAGCGGCTTTGTTTCAACACCCACTTCCCTCTTTCAAAAAAGAAAGAAAGCACAATCTGCTTTTATCCCCTGGGCAATTCGGCTCCAGGGACCACGCATCTGCTCCATAAGACGCACAGACATTTCCTCTTACTTTTTAGGAAGAAAAAAGTGTGTCTTGTGGAGCAAAAAAATAGTACAGTTAGGCCACCAAAATGACAGGAAATGCTCAGAAAAAGGTAAAATAAAAAGTTGGCCAAGGCTGGCTGTTGACTTTGTGAATGAGCAGGGAGTTAAAACCAGCTTGATCTCCTTGCTTAAAAGGACAGAGAATGAAAGTGTTTTTTTCTTTTTTTAAGGCCAGAGAAGCAGCTTCACTGGGGGAATGGGGGCGAGAACCAAGCCAAGAAACAAGGAAGTCCAGTTATAGTGCTTATTTTATTGCAGGAGAGGGGGGCTTTCCCTCCCCATTTTATTCATCTTACAAACTACCTGAGGTTTTCCTTTACAAAGCTGTACATAACCATTTCTCGAGTCCAGAGCAGGACTCCAGGCAGCTTACAGATAAAAACAAACAGTTAAAAACCAGCTTAGCCAGCTTAGCCCAGCAGTTCCATCGAACAAAGCATTGCACGGAACCCCCAATCGCTTCCGGCGGTTCGAGACCCGCGGGAGCTGCCTGGCTTTCAATATATATATATATATATAAATTTGTGGGGTGGGGGTGTGTGTGCAAGTGTCCACCACGGATCTTATTATTTAAATACCCCCACCCCATTTTCATATTAAGGTCCTTAAAATCCATACGGGATAAAATGCAATGTTCCCCAAGTACTCTGGCTGAAACGAAGGGGGGGGGGAAGCTGGCCAGACCCCTTTCCAAGGGGGGCAGCCCGTCCTGTCAGTGGGGTGGGGGCAATTGTGCCTGAAACCAACCACAGGAAATGGGGGGAGGAAGGAAGGGGGTCGGGGAAGGGAAGGGATGTGGGGGCAGAGGGCTGTGTGGGGTGGCCAAGGGACCCCATGAAGTAGCCTGGGGGGCAGATTGGCAGCAGCATGAGAGGCAGGGCAGGGCTGACGGGGGGGCCAACAGTCCCTGGAAGGGGACCTGGCCTGCCAGAGGGGGGCCCATGGCGCTGCTGCAGCAGACGGGCAGATGACCCCAGGGCGTGGCGGGGTACCTGCCCAGGGAACAGCACCGCGAGTCTGGGGTCTGCAAGGGGCCGGCCAAGGCAGGGGGGGCTGCCAGCAAGCTACCTTCCTGAGGGGAAGGCAAGGAGGGGTCCGGGCTGGGGAAGAAGTTGCCCCCACAGTCCAGGGGTGCCCAGGAGGCGGAGGGCGACGTCTCGAGGCTTCGACTTCTGGCTCCGGGGTCCGAGGGCGAAGTCCGCAGGATGTTGTCCATGAGAAACGAGCTTCCCGGGCGGCGCTCGGGGGTCTGTGCCCGGGGGAGGCCCGCAGGCGGTGGGTAAGGGGATCCATGGACGACGTAAGGGGTCAAGTCCTGGATCCAACGCGCTTCATCCTGTCGGGAGATCATGGTGTTTTGGAGTTTTAATGCCTCCGGGGGTATCAAGCTGACGTCCACGGACCAGTAGTTCCTCTTGCTGTTGGCTTTCGAGGGGTCTTTCAGCTCCTGCAACAAAAGCGGGGTGGGGTGAAGAGGCTCTGTAAGCGGGTGGGAGTTGAGGTATAGAACCATCGAATGGTAGAGGAACCCTGAGGTCATCCAGACCAACCCCCTGCAATGAAGGAACAGCAGCTGAAGAATCAGAGAGACTCACAAAGCTTGGAACTGTATTGTGCTTCTATGTTGTAACTGCCCTGAGACCTGCGACTATAGGCTGGTATACAAAATTTAATAGAAATTTCTATTGTCTTTCCATGAGTAATGAGCCCCACTTGTACATACAACCCCCTAGAAGCAATTCCCCTAAGAAAAAAAGGTTGCAGTTTTTGGGACATTTTAGTTCAGAGAAAAGGCAAGAGGCAGCGACTTGATTGAAGTTTGTAAAATTATACATGGGATTTATAAAATGGATAGAGGTACGTTTTTCTCCCCCTCTCCTAATACTCATGGGCAGGCTAGAAAACTGAATACTGGAGAAACAGGAGAGATAAAATAAAGGTTTTTCTTACGTTCTTATGAACGTCCTGTAATATTTAGGTGGTTAATTAACAACAACAACACACACACTTCTCAAACCTAGTAAAGTAAAGTAAAGGGACCACTGACCATTAGGTCCAGTCGTGACCGACTCTGGTAAGGGGATGTAAAAGGTCACATTTCCCTCTTCATCTCTCCTCCCCCTTCCCCACAATTTCAAGCAATAAAGGTTACAGTTCTCCAATTCAGTCTTCTCTAACCTGGCACTCACTTGCAACTCCCAACTCCCACCTGCCCCATTCACAAGACCTGGCGATACACCTGGAGCACCAGTTTGGAGAAGACCCTGCTGCCCCCAACTCCCCCATACCACAGGGTTTCTCAACGTGTGAAGCATGGCTGCGGAACTCCTTGCCACAAGGAAAGGAAAAACAACCCAACAACTTCCAATGATGGATTTCAGAGTTTCCAGCTGTTTTTGGACAATTCCCATCCACCTCGATCACTGATCCTGCTAGCTAGGGATGATGGGAGTTATAGTCCCAAAACAGCTGGAGACCCAAGTTTGGAAAACCCTGGATTAGATGTAGAAGAGGATGCCAAAATCTCTGCCCCCATCTTGTGGCTGGCCCTGATCCTGCACCACCATTTTGTGACCTCAGTAATTTCCAGCAGTCTCAAGGCGTACTAGTCTTTTTACCTGGGGGGGGGGGGGGAAGAGGTAGAAAGACAGAGGACCCCTTTCTCTATATAAATACACCCCCTTGCAAAATAGCAACCTAACTGCCCCTTTTCCTCAAGGATTCAATTCAAACCTCTTGAGGGGGATGAAGGAGAAGGAAGGTTTGCCATGTGAAATGCAAAGCGGCCTTGGACAACCGCAAACTCCCATCTGCTAATGGGATTTGTAGTCCACAAACACCTGAGGGGACGAGGTTGGCAAAGGAGGCAGCTCAACAAAAACCTGTTGGGAAACTCTTTAAATCTGACTGTTCCCTCTCCTCCCCACACTCCCTGCCCCCCCGCCTTCACAGCCCTAGACCTTTTCCCAACCCCCAGATGGGCAGCATCCTGGGTGCAGCTGGTTGGCAACTTGTGGGGACCAGAGCTGCTTTTGGAGGAAAAGCAGGATGCAAATTGGAACAATTTGAACCCTTACCAAGCTATGAAACTGCTTTCTATGACCAAGTCAAGCCTCTACACTCTCTCTCTCTGCCCCGGATGACCCGCACACCACAGCCTTCCTCAGCCTCCTGTTGCCTTGGCAGGGATTTCGGACTACAAATTCCCCCTGACCACTAGCCATTCTGGCTGGAACGGAAGTGTGGTCTGCTACGGGTGCAAAGCCTCCAGGAGAGTTTTTCAGCAGCTGGATCAGAGCACCTGGAGCAGCCTCCTGTTCTTACAGCGGCCAGAAGGCTGCACCAAGCCAGGCATGAGCAAAAGAGAAGGGCCCCATCCCCACCTGCAGCCCCCCAACACCTGGGATGCAGGTAGAGGGAGAACAGAGGCAGCAGGCTGGAGAGAGCGAAAAAGGAATAATTCTAAGGAAACTGGTCCTCCTTCCCTTCTTTCTTTTTCCCCAGAGCATCCTCCCTTCCTTCTGAGTTCTCCCCCCACCAACTTTGTCCAACATCCCCCCTCCCACTCTCCCTTCACACACACTTTTATTATTTATCATACAAGTCACCCATCAAGCCCAGGTCCCAGAGTTACTGCCTTAAAACACAACATTGCAAACACATTTAAAATCACTTGCAGCCACACAGGTAAGGTGCGTCCTAAAAACATTTGCCTTATGTATCACATTACATCATCACCTTTATTATTATTATTATTATCATTATTATTAGCATTAACACTTTAGTAATAATATTAAATTTTATTTATACCCCGCCCTACCCAGCCAAAGCCCGGCTCAGGGCGGCTAACAAGCAATAATAAAAACAAGCTGAGTGAATACAACTTAAAAACAAGATTAAAATACAACATTGAAACATTAAAATGCATTAAAATGTTTAAATGCAGCATTACTAACACGTACCATCCGAAAGCAGGGGTTGGAGGAGAGGTTGTGTCGAATTGAATCCTTCCAGCCCTGGTAGCTGTCGCTAAAAATCGGGAAGAGGCCTTGGATATCCTCTACTATCTAAGAGAAAAAGAGAAAAGGGGTTTTTAAGTTCAGGGCGTCGTCGGAAGCCCTTCTCCTCCTCCTCCTCGCACAGCCGAAGAGGCAAGCAGCGTCTGCGGCCCCGCAAGCCCGCGAGGGCCGCCCCGTCGAGCCACCCACTTCGTGCGCACCCCGCCGCCCCTCTGCTTTTCACGGCACCCCGACGCGCCGCGTCCCCCGACGGCTGAAAAGCCTCAGGGACCGGCGGGCTCCCGGGAAAGCAAAACTCATAAAGGCGACCCCGCTGCGCTCCGGGAGGAGAACCCCGACAGGGAAAGGCGCCTCCAAGCCCGCAACCCTCTTTCTGGCCAGCTGGACCGGCCCGACGGCTCCCGTGCGCAACGCGCAAGCAAGCGGTTTCGCTTCCCAGCAGGTGCGCTCACCTGCCGTAGTAGCAGCCTCTTCTCCGGGGACCGTTGGATGACCAAGGCAATCATGGCCACGTAGCTGTAGGGAGGTTTCGAGTGCCGGCTGTAGGCTTTCTTCTTGTGCGCCCTCGACGGGGCGGACGAGCCTTGCGCCAGCCGGGGCGCCTCGGGATCCGGGGTTGCTGCTGGAAGGAGCGGCGTCGGCGGCGTGTCGGGGGGCGTCTCGGGCTGGCGGCTCGGGACCTGAGGAGGTTCCATGTCGACGTCGGGCACGAGGAGCGGTTCTTCGCGGGGACGGGCGGCGCTGAGGGTTCCCAAAGTCCGGGTGACCAGGATTGATGGTGGAGCGGCTGGATTGTGGCCGGCCCTTATATGTGCTGGGGGGACCCTGGGGGGCGTTGACCGACGTAGTTAGGGGCAGATCCTTGGCCACGCCTGGGGAGGGCAATTGACCCAGGTGGGATGATGGACGGGCGGGGGCGGGGGGCGGGGAGCGGGGAGCAGGCGGCCCTCGGAGGCGCCCGGGCCTCGGATCCACAGGATCAGTCCGGCTCAAGCAACACCCCCGACGGGGAAGGGGCATCGGGGGATAAAGCACCCCCGTCGAGAGGCGCCGCGAGCCGCTGTGGATTAGCGGAGACGCGCGCCGGACTTCGAGGTCAACTGCAGGAAGAGTCATTTCCACCTCATCGCTGCCCTGGGGTGGAAGAGCTTACTCCCGAGGAAGCGTGCCTAGGCTGTGAAAACAGCAGCAGCAAGGGGGCCGCTTGGCTGGACTAGACGGCGCCTGAGGACGGGGCGGTCGGTCGCTAAGGTGTACCGCTTTCCCCCTCACCTGCGCCCCGCCAGGTGTGCCGGGATTCGGAGCCCAATCCACCTGGCTGTTTGGCAGGCTGGCAAAAGCGAGGATGGAGCCTCAAGCGCAACTCGGGGCAAAGCAAAGAAAGTCCTTCTTCCCTCAGCGGTAGAGTTAAAGTGCGGAACTCTCTCCCACAAGACAAGAGGCAGTGAGGGCCACTAACTAAGAGGATGTTGAAAGAGGAATTGACAGATTCGTGGAGGGATTCCTGCTTGTTTCCAGCAGGCACTGGGAGATGCTGGACTAGATGGGCCGTGGGGCTGACGCTGCAAGCTCTCCTTGTGTTCATCAATGGCTACTAACCATGGTGGCTGTGCTCCCACAGTGGGAGACAGTAAATTCGTCAGAATCCCAGTTCCTGGAAGTAACAGGAGAGGAGAAGGCTCTTGTGTTCAGATCCCACATGTATCTTGAGAGCACTATGCTAGACTCATGGGCCTTTGACCTGGGCTCATTTTATGTTCCTATGGTTCCACTGGCCCCAGCATGCATAGCCCTTGTTAATTATTGTTTATGTATTATTTTTACATATTAAATTTGCATGCCGCCCTGCCGATACGATAATCTTTATTGTCATTGTCCCATACAGAACAACAAAACTGGGGGGAAAAACAAAACTACATAAGACATTCAAAACCAACAAGCCTGCTATCCTACCTATCCCAACCTGGTTAGCCCCCAAAAAACTCTGATACCCCATTTTTAAAATACAATATACTCCCATAGAGACTCCTTACACTGCGTTTAAAACCAAAATTGCATTTGGATAGAAACTGTTTCTCAGGCAGCTAGTCCTGGTCTTTATAACCCTGGACCTTCTTCCAGAAGGCAGAAACTGAAAGAGATCATTTTCGGGGTGCGTACTATCCTGCGCTATCTCTGCAGCTTTCTTATGGCACCTGGAAGCATAGATTTGATCCAAGGTGGGAAGAGTGCACCCAATTCCTCTCTCCACAGTCTTTACAACCCTAGACAGCACGGTTTTTCCCCTGGCCGTGCAGCTCCCAAACCACACACACAGACCATAAGTTAATACACTCTCCACAGTGCAATGGTAAAATGCCATCGACTGGTCCTTTGAGAGATTGTTTTTCCGGAGGGTTCTCAGAAAATATAACCTCTTCATCAGGTCTTTACTGTTTTCTCCCCAGGTTAGGTCATCTCTCAACTCCATTCCCAGAAATCGAAACACCAAGACCTGTTCCACGCACTTCCTCCGTAGAGTTGAGGGTGGTTCACAGCACAAAAATGCAAGATAAAAACATAAAATACATAATGAAAAGAAGAACAAATACAAAACCAAACAAATTTAAAAGAATATAGGATGTTAGTCAGCCCAAAGCTTGGTTGAAGAGGAATATTTTTGCCTGGTGCATGTGTTGGTGTGCCAGCTCTGAGCACATGTGTGCAGATATGAGACTGGAGCTTTTGGTTCTTTGAAGAATTTAAGAAAGAAGGAAAGCTTGGTCTTTTGAGATTTTTGTGGCCTCTTTGTGACACTGTTCACTGTGACCGTAACAAAAATATTTAAACACGTGGTTCTTTCTTGCGATCTTTAAAGTTGACTCAGATTCAGCATATTCTTTGCAATGAATATTTCTCAAGTTGGCAGGTGTTCCAGACTAGCATTTATGCACCAAGAAACTGGCTAGTCCAGGCATAGGCAAACTCTGGCTCTCCAGATAATTTGGGACTACAATTCCCATCACCCCTATCTAACAGGACCGGTGGTCAGGGATGATGGGAATTGCAGTCCCAAACATCTGGAGGGCCGGAGTTTGCCTGTGTCTGTGCTAGTCTCTTTGAAATAAATGAGAAGCAAGATAGAAGAGGAAAAAGTGTGGCGTCAAGAGCAGTAAACTTTCCAAAGATACTTTCCATCCATCCAGCTGCCTCCATCTCTAGCAGACTTCACTTGATTAAAAGGTAAATGGACCCCTGACCATTAGGTCCAGTCATGGCCGACTCTGGGGTTGCGGCGCTCATCTCGCTTTACTGGCCGAGGGAGCCGGCGTACAGCTTCCGGGTCATGTGGCCAGCAGGACTAAGCCGCTTCTGGCGAACCAGAGCAGCGCACGGAAACGCCGTTTACCTTCCCGCCAGAGCGGTACCTATTGATCTACTTGCACTTTGATGTGCTTTCAAACTGCTAGGTTGGCAGGCGCAGGGACCGAGCAATGGGAGCTCACCCCATCGCGGGGACATCAATAAACTTTAAAAAATTAAAATAATAATGAGTTCATCATGAGGGATCAATAATCAAGTCATGGTCAAAATGGCTTTGATGGAGGCACAAGAAAGATAGAATAATTCAATCAGGTAGGGTGGGTGTTGCTGATGAAGGTATTGTGATGCACTAGGGATAAGGATGTAGATTGCTGATAAGGATGGAAAGACGCAGGTGATGTCTGCGTTTAAGGGTTGTGCAATGAAGAGGCTTTGAAGGAACTTAGATGGAGTAAGAGACACCTGTTGAAAACTCCTAATTCTGCACAACTCTTAAAGCTCCATGCTTATTTATACTCCTCCTCGGATGGGACTCGAGGTAGCTTACAGATAAATACGAGAATCGCTAAAGTCATAGAAAAAACAATTGCACATTGATTGAATTTAAACTGTATCCGGATATGAAACCTGTTTAAAAACATAAAAGCAGCACAGCAACAGCCCTTTTATTAAAAGCAGTCCGTTTCCCCAAGGCCTTTTGCAACCAAAAAACAGGAGGAGGACAGCAAGGAAGGAGCCAGCTTAGTTTTTCCAGGGAGGGGGTTCCTGAGTCCCCCACCAAGCAGGCCTGTGAGGGGGGGGGGCAGGACTGAGAGAAGGATCTCCCTGGAAGATCCCCAAACCCAGACAGGTTATTTTTAGGGAACAGGGTCTTTCAGACCCTAATGGGGTTCCTTGCCGCTTCCTGAATATTAATATGTTTGCTGCTGCCAAGACTACAGCAACTCCCATAATCCCTAGCTAGCAGGACCAGTTGGAATTGTAGTGCAAAAACAGCTGGAGACCCAAGTTTGGGAAACCTTGCTCTAGATGTTTCTTTTTTATTAAAGATTGTCTTGATTTACAAAAGTGTTTGCAATGTCTCTCTCTCGTGTCCCCCCCCCCCCATGTAACATTTTTCCATGTCTCATTTGTTGAGACATTAGGAAGAAAAGGGGGAAAGAGGTGGGGGGGGGAGAGAGATGGGGGGGTCGGGTGGCGATGTTTCTGTTTTATTTACTATATGTAGGGTTTGGTGTCAGCCTTGCTTGTGCAGGTTCTTTGCTGTTCGCTTGTGTTCCTTTGGTGGTGAGAGAGGTTGGGGTTGGCCATGGGTGTGGTTGTTCATTTGTGGTTGGCTGGGGTGGTCTTTGTTTTCGTGTGTGAGTGGGGTGGGTGTGTGTTTTGGGTCAGCTTAGCCATATTGATTTGTATGCTGTCGGTGGATTTTGTCATTGTCTTGTTGGGCTGTGTGTGTGATAAAGGGGAGGCAATAGAAGAAGGCATCTTCTTTTTTTATTTTTTTTAAAATGATATTTATTAAAATTTCAAAGAAAAGAAAAAGATTACATTAAAAAGAAAATTAACAATAAAAAGGAAAAATACAAAATACAAAATACAAAAAAAGAAAAAACAGTTAAAAACAATTCCATCTTTTCATCACTTCTCTTACATTTACTTGTTTCCTGGACCTCCTCATACCACCCTATTTTGTATTCCAATTCAATTTGTTAGTCCAGCAATTCCTTTCCCTCCTTTTTAATCCTGATCTTTAATCTTGATATATTATAACATTAAATTTTTACGTATTAAAAAACCAATTTTTCCATATTCTTTTATACCATTACAGCTAGAAACCACTTAACTTCAATCTGACATCATTCTAACATTCATTAATTTTACAATATTTCTGTAAGTAGTCTTTAAATTTCTTCCAATCTTCTTCTATTTGTCCCTGTGTCAGTTTCAGTTTATTGGTTAATTTTTCTAGTAAAAAATAAATAGCACCCATACTATTTGGTGCTCTAGATGTTTCTGAACTACAACTCCCATCATCCCTGGCCCATCTAGGTCAGCATCCTGTTCTCACAGTGACCACTGGCATGAAACTGGCAGGCAGGAGCCGGGCATAACCTACGAGTCTTGAATGCCTTCTCCTTCCTTTGCAATGCCAGAGTCAGACTAGGACCTTGGAGACGGAGGTTCAGTTCCCCCATTCAGCCATCAAGCTCTGACTGGATGGCACTGGGTCAGTCACCGCCTCTCAGCCTGACCCAGCTCACAGGGTTGCTGTGAGGGTTAGCTGAGGAGGGGGAGAACTGTGTCTGCCACCTCGAGCGATTTGGATGCCAAAGTGTGTTATAAATAAAATAAATAAATGTTTGTTTTCCTTCTGGGACTGTACCCCCAAGTG